TTTAGAGTTTCCGTGAGCCGAATTAGCACTCTCCGAAGTACACAACCTCCCAGCTCGATCAAATAGGGTAGACACGAGACGTCGTTTGTATTGGATTGGAGCAAAACTCCCGAAGTGGCCGGTCCACGTGGATTTTCGATGCACGAACCTCAAGATAGTTCCGTCTGGTCTACGCCCAATAGCAATATCTCGAAATGGGAGTGCGTTGTTCTGCTCAGTTTCCAAAGTGAATTGGTTGTCTTTGTGAAGTGAATCAAATCCAGCTAACCACTCCTCGGTCACCCGGGCGCTTCGCCTGTTTAACTCTTTGTCTTCCGTTCCCAACCCTATCCCTTTACCCCTTCTACCGATCTGTACTAGTCCCTCAAGCAACTCGGATGTCGCACGTCAAAGGTTATTGCCAGAGGGGACGACCTATTCACAATAGGGATCAACGACTCGATCGCTGGGCAGAATACTTCAACGAACAGTTCAGTTGGTGCTAGTGCTAACCAGGCTGCTTCATCTCCGACTGAAGCTCCTTGGGCAGTGTCATGAGATCCTCAAATGGCAGCAAAAGTTCATTCTTACATTCAAGCTCTGAAGTGAGGAAAGGCAGCAGGGTCTGATGAGCTCCCTCCCACTGTTTTCTAGATGGGCGGTGATAACCTCGTAACCTCTATTACTAACCTAATGCGCAACAGTTGGATGCAAGAGCACATTCCTTCATCTTGGTGCGAATCACTGATCGCTCCCATTTTCAAGGAAGGATCCTGCAACGATTGCGAAAACCACCGCGGAAAAAGTTTGATCCCGATCGTCACCAAAGCGCTAGCTTCGGTTATACTTCGACATCTGACGCCTTTAAGAGAGACCAACATCCGTGAACAGCAAGCCGGATTCAGGCCTGGCCGTGGATGTATTGATCAGATTTTTACGTTGCGTCAGATCCTTGAGATGCGTCATACTCACCGTCGGCCAACGATCACAGTGTTCCTTGACCTGAAACGAGCCTTCGACTCAGTTGACCGCGAAGCTCTGATGGGCTGCCTTCTTCGAAAAGGAATGCCCCAGAAGTACGTTAACCTACTGAGGTCACTGTACTCACATACCTCTGGTCGTGTAAGGGTCTACAACGAANAATTTCGTCGTAGACGAAATATTAAAGAGCGCACTAAGGGGACTCCAAAACGTGGGTATTGAATGGACAGATGGAGCAAAGCTGTACGATTTAAAGTACGCCGATGACATCATCTGTCTGTTCGAATGTATGGAGAACGCGCAAAGCACACTTGATAGATCAACAAGTGCAGTGGCCACATTCCGAACGTGCTTTGCACCTTCAAAGTGCCAAGTGTTGCTGCAGGACTGGGTTTCGT